CACAAATAGCCCATCGTGTAGCTTTGTGCTTAATTACAAACAAACAAACCTTATGCCCCAGATATTTTAATTACATTATACATACAACAGTACATACTATATATGTATATATTGTATCCAAGAATGTGAAGATATTTTTACAAAGTGGTAATTCTTAGTAAATTTTACTTGTTCAAGAAGAAATTTATGATAATAATTTTATCATATTTGAAAGAAAGAAAAGAAAATTGTGTCTAACGTGGAAAATTTTACAACCCACTAAGTGACCGTTTTATTTAGCAGCCAGTTCACTAGGCAACTGTTTAACTGAGATCACCTAAGAAATTAATGTTTAATCAATGAAAGCAAATGTAATTTATTTTGTTCATTAAAATAGTATTTTAAAAAAAGCTTTAAGAAAATTATTTTTCACACCTACGTCATGGGATAACTACATTAATTTGAATGAGAATTTCACAACTAAGAACAGTTTTGCCATATACAATTTTTAGTTGAGCATGGAAATGTTTCATTAAGCTTCTGGGAATTTTTACAATAAGTCAAGTACCAATCATTACTTTTTCTATAGTATAAACAATATTCTTGAAACTAATTAGAATGAACAAAAAATCCCCCCCAACACCACCACCACAAGTTAAAAATCACCATCACAAGCTTTAGGTCAAGATAATTAACTTTACTTGTTTACAGGATCTACCACGGCACTAACTCTCTCCTCGGTAAATTTAGACATGAAGATGAGAAATTTGGCACAAAAATGTGACACAAATGCAAAGTTGAAATACAATAGCTTGAGTAAGATACTATGGAAGTGAAGAATGTCAGCATAAAGACAAACATCACGATGTATAATGCTGCAGTAATATATCTGCCACTATATGGAACAGAAAGTTGGACGTGGACAAAACAGCAAGAACAGAGACTGGATGGTTTTGATTTTAGGAATAAGTTAGCAACAGAAAATGAGAAAGTAAGAAGTACAAAAAAATGACTGAAGAGATGGGATTGGGTGAATTAGCTGGATTAGCATAGAAGCAGTGTTTGAGAGGTGGAGATAAGATGAATGGAAAGAAACCAAGTGTATGGTTAAACAAAATGAAGAACGGCATGAAAGAAATGGTGAGGTGAAGATGCAGAAATGCAAAAAGACGATACAGGGCAGCAGACTTGGCCATGAACCGGTGAACCTGTACGACTTTAAGATTTCCCCCAGAAACTTAAAATGCAACAATAACCATTATTTATACCAGTACATACTAAGGAAAATACAAAGTACATACAAAGGAAAATATTCCACTACTGAGGATGTTTTACTTCAGAAATTCTTTAGTACTGGAATAATGTCAGACATTAAAAACAAAATACTTAGAACTCATCTTTAAAGTTACAGAGCTCAGTTTGACCTTACATACAATATAAACAGAACAGATTCAGTTCTTACTGAGCCAAGAACTTATCCACCACATACTAACCTATATGGGTTTGGATATCTTGCCCAAAAAGCCTGGGCAACCTGGTCCCATGTAAACCTGAAGGTGTTTGTACCTTCGTAAAACTTTCCCATTCTCGAACTTTCTGTCTCTGTAAAAAAAAGAAAAAAACTGTCATGGTTAGTAATCAACACGATCACTTAAGTCTCTAATTATTAGTTAGTTACTTTTTTATTTATGGACTAGTTTAGTTTATATCCCATATTTTTTGTTACTTTTTTTTTGGCTGCTAATCCACTGTGTCCAGAGAAGTTCCGAGAAACACTGTGTTTGTAGTGACTCAATCCACTGTGTTCAGACAAGTTTTGAGACGCACTGTGTTTGTAGTGACTCAATCCACTGTGTTCAGGGAAGTTTTGAAAAGCACTGTGTTTGTAGTGACTCAATCCACTGTGTCCAGAGAAGTTTTGAGAAGCACTGTGTTTGCTAGTGACTCAATCCACTGTGTCTAGAGAAGTTCCGAGAAACACTGTGTTTGTAGTGACTCAATCCACTGTGTTCAGACAAGTTTTGAGAAGCACTGTGTTTGTAGTGACTCAATCCACTGTGTTCAGAGAATTTTCGAGAAGTAGTGTGTTTGTAGTGACTCAATCCACTGTGTCCAGAGAAGTTTCGAGAAGCACTGTGTTTGTTGTGACTCAATCCACTGTGTCCAGAGAAGTTTCGAGAAGCACTGTGTTTGTAGTGACTCAATCCACTGTGTTCAGAGAATTTTCGAGAAGTACTGTGTTTTATGACTCAATCCACTGTTCCAGAGAAGTTTCGAGAAGCACTGTGTTTGTAGTGACTCAATTCACTGTGTTCAGGGAAGTTTTGAAAAGCACTGTGTTTGTAGTGACTTAATCCACTGTGTTCAGAGAAGTTTTGAGAAGCACTGTGTTTGCAGTGACTCAATCCACTGTGTTCAGAGAAGTTTTGAGAAGCACTGTGTTTGCAGTGACTCAATCCACTGTGTTCAGAGAAGTTTTGAGAAGCACTGTGTTTGCAGTGACTCAATCCAATGTGTTCAGAGAAGTTCCAACTGTGTTTGTACTGACTCAATCCTGAGTCTACCTAACAGTAGGGTGGTACTATCCACCTGTCCAGGCTCTCCCCCATTAGGACTTGAAACAACTGTTGAATGCTTTTTCTACTTATATATGCTAGGTTGACTGTGTGTTATTAGTTAGGTGGTTTGTGCCTGTAGTGTGTGGTCATATTATGAAAGTATGGTCAACATATCTGAGCTAAATCTCACAGTTGACAAAAGTTGTTTTGAGGGCATTAACCTCAAAATGTTCCATGTAGAAATTACTGAGTACTGATGATTGGAGTAAGCCCATGTCAAGGTCTTTCTGTTTTTTGTAGTATTCAACTTCATGTTGAAAGTAGGTTGTGTGGATATAAAGTTGCGTGTTATCATGGAGATTGTCGGCTGGGTGCATTCATTAAGAATTTATCATTTTCAAGTTGTTGGAAGAGTATCTGTAGTGTCCCAAGGGTTGTTGTATCATGTCTGCAGAGTTTTTAACATGTGAGAATGTTCTATTTGTTAATGGTTATATCTATAAGACATCTAGGTAAGGAGTGGCCTGGTGAATCTCCATAGTTAACTATGGGATGGAGAGGGTAGTGTTGCTTGTAAATCTTAAGTAGTCACACATGTATGGGGTAGTGCTGTGTTGTACTATTAGTTCTTCAACAAGAGTTTGGAGCTTGATGGTGTATTCCTCCATGTGCATGTAGCATTACCTTTGCTGATAGAAATGTTATAGTGTTGTTTCAGTTTCTTAGAGTAGCATTTTTTCTGTTTTTGTGATTTTATAGTGGGGTTTACATTTCATGTCTTTCTGGACTGTTGACTTTATTCTGGTTCTGATTCATGTCTTTCTGGACTGTTGACTTTATTCTGGTTCTGATTCATGTCTTTCTGGACTGTTGACTTTATTCTGGTTCTGAACTCTTCATACTTCTAATAGGCTATAAGTTGTGTCATATCTGGTTATAGCTATATCTAGGGTTGGTATTTTGTTAAATGTCAGAGAAAAGTTTAGTTCTTAGTGTAATACACTTTCTTCAGGCTTTACTAATGATAATTTATTACAGTTTATTGCTGTACCTTGTAATACACTTTCTTCAGGCTCTACTAATTATAATTTATTACAGTTTATTACTGTACCTTGTAATACACTTTCCTCAGGCTCTACTAATGGTAATTTATTTTAGTTTATTACTGTACCTTGTAATACACTTTCTTCAGGCTCTACTAATGATAATTTATTACAGTTTATTACTGTACCTTGTAGTACACTTTCTTCAGGCTCTACTAATGATAATTTATTACAGTTTATTACTGTACCTTGTAGTACACTTTCTTCAGGCTCTACTAATGATAATTTATTAGTTTTTTTACTGTATCTTAAGGTGTATAGAGTGTCAACATGTTTCTTGTTTTGAAAATTGACGAGTGAGTTTAGTTTGATAATTTGATTACGAGTGTTAGTTTGAATAGCTGTGTAAATCTGTATCTTGTAATATAACAATTTAATATTATACAATATTTTCAGTTTATTTTCTGGACATATCTAGATACTGAGGTAATCTTTGACATCAGGGGTGTAGACAGATTAGTTGAGTTTAAGTCCGTTAGTAATTATGTTGTTTACATTTAAGGAGGAAGGTCAAATGCTTATCTATTTTGGCCAATTTAGACTTGTGTCCTTCTAAATCCCTATATTCCATGGCTGTAAAAGATCAAGTACTTACATTAAGATTGTGCAAATTGAATGTCAACCTTTTTCATAGTTTGTAGTCAATATGATGACTTAAATTAATTACTTTTGTTTTTACTAGAAACTAATTACTAACTGGTTTATATCTTGGCTGTTAATCCTGAGAAAGTGTATTTTGTGGTGGTAGTGGCCATGATTAGATCCTGGGTCTACTTGATAGAATGGCTAGTGTGCTATCCAATCACTTGGAGTCTCCCATATTAGGAACTGAACAAACTAACTATTTTGCTGACTTCTGTGCTACCAGGTAAGTGAATGTGGCAGTGAAGCATCAGTTAAAACTGCAGCAATACATGTTCCACAAGTGTTTTTTTATCTGACTATGATTGGTCAATGCTACTCAAATGGTCCCTTTCCTAAGGTTTCAAGTATAGTATAGTATAGTGTTAACTGTGTTTAATGTTACACTCAAAAAGTCAGCCAACTAATTGCTGTCTTTCACTTATTAATAACTATTTGTTTGTTATGCTGTATATTAATTTCCTTACTTTATGGGATATGTCATCTTTACAGCTTTCCTTTCAATATTTCAAGTATAATGTTGGCATACCTTATGATCTCTTAAAGTTTATGTATGTAAATGTCTGAAGAAAAACATACTGTTGGGTTAAATAAAGTAATTTTCCAAATATAATATAAACTTGCTTCCCTAAAAATTCTAGAAGTTATGATTCATATAATATATGGTAACATATAAATGTTTTGTTGTTTTTCTTACACCCAGTCTCAACCATCTTTTCCAACAAGCGTTGTAAATGATATACATACCTACTATAAATGTTGTGTTTCGATGGTATACGTTATTGACTCTCTCTCTCTCTGTTTTTCATTTTCAGTACCTTTAAATGTGATTTTTAGAATAAAATGATCAAAATCTAATCTTGTGATTTTTTAATTTATTTACATGCACACTTAGAAACATCTGAAAATACAAAACTAGTTATCACTACGTTATGTTTGATATTCAAAACTACATGACTAATGAACACCAGCTATAAATGTTTTTTTTTTAGAATGTTTATTTGACGGTTGCAATTGCAAACATAGTAAGCCCTATAGTGAATTCACAATTAGAGATTATACAGACCCTTTAACATTCCTGTCATCAAAATGTTACTTTGATCGCAGTAGTGCTAAAGTCTAGGTGTGTATTATTTATGGTGATAAGGACAGATTGACTCTGTTCATGAAGATTAGAGTGTATATTATACTTGGAAGCATATTATATTTGGAAAACTAGAGTAATAAATGAGATTCTTCTTGTAGCACCTCTTGTTCATCAGTTAGTTGAATCCTTTTTTTGGCACATAATTACACAAATTCTGAATCTTAATTTGAAGTTTTCTTTTAAACTTTTTTTTTGTTGTTTTTTCATTTAACATTAATTTACTTCCTTCTTAAAAAGCCTTTTTCATTATTTTATTACATTATAACTTGTATAGTGTTTAACTACCTAGAATTTTCATTCAAAGAAAGTTTAACACCTCAACTTATTTTTTTATACAACTAACACCACGTTAAAGCACACATCAGACTATTCAATGACAAATCTAGTGAATATCTAGAGTGACGATTACTGCGTATTGTCTTAGAATAAAACAAAAGTGAAAATATTAATCAGTAATGTTTCAAAAACAAGGAAATTTCTTCCATACAAACCATTCTTTTCTTGAAATGGCTATCCTAAGCATTTCATGGAGGAAATAACTTACTCATTCTTAACTAATGTTTGTCAAGCCATCTGAGATACCCATTGTACCCAAATTTCCCTTATACACCTGCTTACCATACCTTGGAAGACAAAACTCCCTTATCACGAAACAGTTGAAAAAATTATGTAACTCTTGCTATCTCCAAATTGACCTGAAAGTTATTTTTAAACCTAATTTCAGACTATAAATTTTTTTCTGCTATAAAGATCGTGTGCAAACTACCCATTGTTTACATCTCGTCTACTTATACTCGTACACAGAATGTAAAGCATCCTATATTGGTGAAACCAAACATCACTTTAAAGCACAAGCATGTGAACATATGGGCATATCTATAAAAACTGGAAGGTTACAAACCCTCCCAACTCTGCTATCTACCAGCACAATACAGAAACAGGACATCCAATTTCTCTCTCCAACATTAAAATTCTCTGAACAGCCAAACATGATACTGAGCTTCTAATAAAAGAAACATTATACATAAATCTCTTCTTCTGTCTCTATATAATACACACCCTTCTCTTGATTTAACTCTATCTTAATTTAACTATTTCATTTGGGCCACATTTTTTCATTTTCTCTTGTTATATTTTTTATATTCAAATTGTTTACTTATGTATTACAACTTACATTTCTGTTGTAATTAACATTGTGTTTGTTTTGTATCTCTAGATTACTGATGATGGAATTTTGAAGATTCCAAAACATTTAATAAATGCTTCATATTATTACACTTATGCTTTGCTTTATTATTGTTTAGTTCTGAAATATGTAGAGTACAAATTAGTAAACATTATTATTAAACTGAATAATTACATAACTTAAGATGGTGCCTGTACAGTATCGTTTATAATAAGATTGAGCTATGAAAAATGGTTTAAAGATTTTGAGTTGTTTTCTCTAGAGTATAAATTATTCACTTACAAAAAACCTGAGATTATTATGAAGCAATCTTGCCAAGTTGTAGAACTATAGAATCATTGCTTAGCAAACTGAAAGAACGGAAACTAAATAATAACTGACCTAAAAAATTACGTTTTTCATTATCTAGTTTTCCGAATTTCTTAATTATTGAATATTATTCTTAACTATATTTAAACAACAATTAGTCTTTTTACTTTATATGCACAACCCAACAAACCATGAGGAAATTTAAATAACAGATATAATGGTGGATTAAACACAGACATGAAATTATACTTAAAAAAAGTCCATTAGAAAACATCAAAATTTGAGTACTTAAACAAGTGGTCCTCAACATAAACAAGAAGTCTGAAACATGGAACAAAATAATTGTCATTTTATCAACCATTCCTACAAAACAATTATCAATACCTTTACCAATACCTTCTCTTTGTTTCACAGAACATTTCAAGCAATTTAATTTAATTTATAATCATCAAATAGAGTGAAACTTAGAAATCAGTATGAAGACTGTAGCCAATAGGTCCAAGCTACTCTTGCATGATTTATAAATATCTCCATGGTTTCCTAACATATTTAGATAACAAAATAGTGCTCACTCAATAAAAAATGAAACATTCTTACATTTTTTTTTCCTGCAGAAATCTCTATGTGTGTGTGTGTACATATATATATATATATATATATATATATAACATTACAGATATAACATAGCATATCCAATTAAAAAATTGTTTGTCTCCATGTTTTGAGAAAAGTTATGACAAAACTATTTAGTAATGTATGCCTAAAGAGAAATGAAATAACCTTCAGCACAAAAACTCTATCTATCCTAGTGTATTTTTATATTTTGAAATATTTTTGTAAAACTTGAGTATCATTTCACTGACTATCTGAAAGTTAAATCCAGATGCCACAAATCTAGGTTCAAAACTTTAATTTACTGCTGTTCATACTTTTTTTAACTACCAAGTTTGCAACCTAAAATTAAAAACATAATTCATACGAAAATTATCAATGAGTTAAAAGTTCGTTAAATTTTGGCGTAAAAATCACATTCACGCCCTGTTATATTGATACTCATGAGCCTACCTTTAATTCTGTGCTCGGGCCCTTCCACAATGGAAATCCTACAAAACTATAATTTTACTTCTAATTTTAGGCGTATGTTCCTAGACCAACGTTATAGAACAATACTACTGTGGTACAATAACAAAAAATGCCACAACCCGTGGTGTTGAATTATATAAAAATCAACAGCACAGAATAAAAAATGTGGAAACATATAAAGGAATCGGGCTACTGTTTGCAATGAAATTGAAATTTAACTTCATGCCTCATGTAGATCAATAAGCCTCGCGACTTAAACAAAAATGTACTCATCTGTTTTAAAAATTGTGTTTGTCTTCCACAAAGGCATATTGGAATACGTGATAAACATCTCACAACCGGGTAACAAGATGCAAGGCAGAAAGCACGAGAATCATGCGCAAGAAGGAGTGCGCATTAATCAACGCCATGTAAATACGCAAACAACTAAACAGTGTGGAAATTTCACACCGTTTAAAACATTTGTAAATAACTGAACACAGTATTAACATAAATCAACTATTCCTCATAGTATATACATATATTCAGATATAAAGCACTAACTTCTGGTGGTATTAATGATGTATATGACTTTCTTACTTCTGTATCATTGAGTCGCATTCACTCTTAGTTTTGTTACTTGTTTATTGTTGAGCGTAATGCTTCACACTGGGCTACCTGTTCTCTGCCCAACGCGTGTATCAATTTCTGGCATTATAAGCTCTCAGACTTGCTGAGCCACCGGAGAGGTCTTAATTGTATTCTTTCTTTATGTTTCAAGACATGAGCTGAACTCATTGTCGCCTATGGTATTGTATATTATGTTATTACACGTAAATTTATTTACTTAGATAAAGCTTGTTGCATTTATGAGTTAGAAGTAATTTTATGTATAATTATTTTTAAGTCTTCAAACTCAGAAAAAAGTACGTTACTGCATGAGACTGATACAGAGGATTGATAATATTGTATTAAAATGTTTTTGAATTTGCAAATGATAATAAGTCACATGAAAACCATAGCTGATATAGTCATGATGGAACAAACCGTATCAGAACTACGCTTTTACATTGTTTAGCGTTTAGTAGGAAGTATGATGACACACTAAATTGATCGTTTTTGGGAAGGTATTGTTGCGTCAGCGAGTCACATGACACTGTGACGCAACGTTTCTAGAACTATCATGTACTTTGTCGAATGTTCAAGTTCTTACTAGAAATAGGGTACGCTGGTATATATAAGAGGGGAAAACGTGACGCGGTAAGGTAATCAGGGGCGGATTGGGATGGCTAAGCGGCCCGGGATTGGGATCACAGAGTGGTCCTGGACAGGTTTTCTGTTAAACTTTTTA